GTTAACGGATCAATTCTTGGCTTTAAAAGTTGGCAGGTTTCTGGTATCAGCTGTGTCTGGCGTACGAAGTGCGGACTGCACAAAATTGGTGCGGACCACGGAGGCATTATGCGGCCGTATTGGAAATTTCGCGGGCCGCGGAAGAGGAAATTCGACCGCGGTGTATTTTATGCGGACCGCGGAAGGTAAGGCTCAAGGTCGACGACCGCTGCAGGATTTACGCGGACCGCGGTGAGGAGTGTGCGGCCACGATGGATTTATGCAGACCGCGAAGTGAAGGTTCAGAGGGCACTATATAAGCGAGGTTTAGGGTTTTATTTCACATCTTGGACTTTGGGAGCTCGGTTTGAGGCGAATTTTCGGGAGTTTTTCAAGGAAATCATCTGGGTAAGTAATTCTAACTCGGTTTTGGCTAATATTCATGAATATATCATTAAATTCATCAATTGATCGTGACTTGAGATGGAATTTGGGAAAAATTGGTAGAGTTTCATAAAATAAATTTTTGGGAATTGAAAGACTATTTGAGGTCGGATTTGAGTGAAAGTAGTATGGTTAGTCTTATAATCGAATGGGTTGTTGGATTTTGCAACTTTTATCGGATTTCGAGACGTGGGCCCGGGGCCCGACTTTTGAGTTGACTTTTTGACTTTTGACCTAAAGCTTAGCATTTTCTTATGGGATTGATTCCTTTGACTCGTGTTGATTGTATCGAAATATTTGTGGCTAGATTCGAGGCGTTTGGAGGCCGGTTCGAGAGGCAAGGGCATCGCGAAATAGGAATTTGACCGATTTGAGGTAATTAATGATTGTAAATCTAGTCCTGAGGGTATGTAACCCCGGATTTTGTATCGTTTTTACTATTTTGAGGTGACGCATATGCTAGGTGATGGGCGTGTGGGCGTGCACCGTTGGGGATTGTGACTTGGTCCATCCCGTAGCAGCTGTAAAGTTGCGTATTTTGTTGAAACTATATGATATCATGTGTTTTAGAAAGTGTTTCTGTAAATTGGGCTGAATGCCATGTTTTGGGCCTGGGGCCAGTACTATTTGGACCCTTAGGGACCTTTTCTTCTTATCATCTCACTGTTTTTGATCGAAAATCTATACTCAGTCATGGTTATACCTGTTTTACTACATATCTAAGTTTTATTACTATGTTTTGAGGCATATAATATTTTTTCGGGCTGAGTTTCCTGTTTTACTGACATGCCCGAGTGGTTTGAGAGGTTTATGATTGAGTGAGGCCGAGGGCCTGATTTCTGAGGATATTAATGGGATCGGGCTGCACGCCGCAGCATGTTGTTACTGATTCATGATGTAGTGAGGCCGAGGGCCTGATTGATTTATACCACGAGGTGGCTTGTTATAGCGCTTGGGCTGAAGGAGCCCTTCCGGAGTCTGCACACCCCCAGTGAGCGCGGGTACCCTGGTTGTGAGTGATGTTTTGCCCGAGGGGCTGTATATGAGTGATGGTGAGATTTACCCGATGGGGCTGTTTATGATTCATGTTTGCCCGAGGGGCTGTATACGAGTGATGTTTGCCCGAGGGGCTCTTTGTGATTTATGTTGCCCGAGGGGCTGTGTACGAATAAGGTTTGCCTGAGGGGCTGTTTATGATTTTCATCACTTTCACTCTCATTTGAATTGAGCCTCTATTGAAACTGTTGAAAAATATCTTCAAATGATTTTTACTGAAAACTGATTTTGAACGAGATGATTTGACTCACACACTGAATTGAAAGCACGTTGTATTTACTGAAGTTTCATGATGTGGACTTTATGTCTTTACTACTTGTCACTACTGCTCAGTCTTTATTTACTTTTATTACTTACTGAGTTGGCATACTCACATTACTCTCTGCACCTTGTGTGTAGATCCAGAGGTTGCTGGACGTGCTAGTAGGTGTTGATTTCATCCGTCGCGGATCTGTTGGAGTTAGCAAGGTAGCTGCATGGTGATCGCAGCCCTGCTCTTCTCCCTCCTATCTTCCTATAGATGTTATTAGTTGTTTTGCAAACTGTATTAGTCTTAGTATTATCGGACAGTCTTAATAGATGCTCATGACTAGTGACACCCCGATGTTAGGCTTTTATTTCCGCACTTTGTCATTCAGATGTTCTTTATGAAAGTTTTATTATTAAATAGCGTGAATGTATCTTTGAAAATGAAATATCGCGTTGATTTTGGTAAAGAGTCAGCTTGCCTAGTTCTACGATAGGCGCCATCACGACAGGGTAGTTTTGGGTCGTGACAGCAACAGATCACCAAGAGTGTAAATTCAGGAGGCGAATGGAATTGATTAGTCAGGAAGACCCAGAAGCCTATCCTTGGTTGATGCGACATGACTTGACAAGTGGACTTTGCATAAGGATGGTGGTAGAAAATGGAGAATTTTGACTACAAATGTGTCAGAGTCTTTCAACGGGTTGTTGAAGACTGCACGTGGATTGCTTGTCACTGTCATGGTGCGGAAGTCATTCAAGCATATGGCGGAGAGGTTTGTTGAAAGATCTAGTGGTGCACCGTCATTGATGGAATGGGTGTTGAATTTATACCACAACCAATGAAACGATTTGAGAAATTTAGGAAGTGAGCACAATAGCATACAATTTTGCAGTATTACAGCGAGGGAAATATTTTTGAAGTTCGCATTGGTCTGCATTAAAACCACGGGAATAATACACACACCGTTAATGAATCCAGAAGATTATGCTTGTGTGGAAAATGGTCAATCTATCACTTGCCATGTTCACATGCCATGAAGTGCTTTCAACATACATGTTTCGCGGCAATGAGGTACGTTGATAAAGAATATAGTGTTGCTGCATACGTAAACACCTATAGTGGACAGTTGCAGCCAGTAGGTTCTGAGCATTATTGATCGTCGGAACCATTTAAAATGGTGTGCAACAAGGATTTTGTGAGTCAACGGCAAGTGCAAAAAAGAACGCGGATACAAAACCAAATAGATGTTGATGATACCGTTTATGCGCGTAAATGTGGCATATGTTCCCAAATAGGACACGATCGTTGTAAATGTCCTTCAGCTGGTTTGGGAAGCGGTGGTAATTCAGCTGCAGGTGGCAGTTCATCTAATGTGGCCAATTACGAAGGATAAACTTAGTGTTTTGTTGCAGTATTTTGGTTGTACTAAATGTTTGTAAAGGTTCAGTTTGCAAAATTTCTGATATAAAATTATGTTTTCCAATAAGGTTAAATCTAATTGATATCTAGCATTAAATATTCAATACAACAATCTAAAATATTCCCCAAGAAATAAATAATTTTCATTCGCCATTATTGTCACTGTCTGGCGCTATTTCATTGTCGTTGTCTTCATCTTCTTCGTCAACATCTTGTACGCACCCTTCCGAACCGAGGGCATCGTAATCTAGGCCCCAGTTGCCCATATTTCTCGTATTTCATCGCTATCATCAATAAGACCACTTGCTTGATTTCTACAACAATATGGGACTCCTATGTCCAACGTGTGTGGTAGAGACTTAAGTAGTCTCTCCCACTCGACAACTGTTGGGAAAACATGATAATCAATGTCTCTATGCAATTTTTCATTTTCTAATAAATCCCAATACTGATCATCCGTTTCTTGAGGTAGTTAAGATCATCCACTGCATAATGAACGGCTAGTGCCTTTTTCATCTCTAAAATCTCCTTCATCAAATGTCGAATCACTTTAGGTTCATCTTTGTGTGTGTTTGTTTGGAAGGTTGCAGACAATGCTTGCGGTACAACTAGCCCATGCCAGTGGCATAGTATCATAATCACACCATTTTGAGTAAAGAGGAACCTATTGTAGTTTTTCGCCCCAAATTCGCATACCATCAGGCTTTGTAGAATGCGCTTCGTCCTCAATAATGTGCTCTGCAACTTTGAGATCAGTGTGTATATTGATAGGCTTATTTTTCAAGGGACGTAGAACACCATACCACTTGTCATCAACCAAATCAGTATAGCAACCTAGCATCTTATTTTCAAGGTAGGTATCGATTGTGTTATGATATGTTCCATGTGGATCTATTGAACTACCTTCACCTTTTTGCCTCTTCTTAAACCAGTATAGTGGCATTTCTGAAATGGATATTGTAATGGTTCTTGAAATGGTCTTTGAATACTGATCTCTTGGTTCAACTTAAGAAGAACTAAACTACACGAACTTGTATATTAAACGTAGCGCATCACCAATATCCGTTATGTGTATATCATGTCGACAGGGATGGATGCAACATACATCTACCGGGTTCAACTGAACCCAGTATATATATAATTTATAATGAACAGTAGATATGAACGCATAACTTTAAAATATAATGGGTTCAATGCTAAAAACTTCAAATGTTGAACCCATAAAATTAAAATCCTAGATTCACCTCTGCATGTCGACCTGAAAAAGCTGTCGATCTGAAAAGCTGCACCCACTTGTACCCTAAAGAATCATTAGGGTATAGCGCATATATAAGATGCGCTATATATGTAGCGTCAATTATGCATGCGCTATACCCTCAATTATTGGTGGCTCAGTAAAGTTCATATGGGGTCAGTAAAGTTTACATATAGCGCATGTAACAAATACGGTATATATACTTTGGTCATCCGTTGTTTTTTTCACCTATTTTTGTGCTTTGTGTGCAAAAAAGCAATATTTTGGTTCCGGACTCTTCAAAACTAACGTATGTTCAAAGCTCGATATGTATATATAATGTCACCCACATGCACGTCGAGTCCTATTTTTGGGTGTGCGCTTCACCAAAGAAGCTAAGTTTTTATCCGAAATGGTACTTTGAGAGCGGATTTAGAAGGCAACTTAATTACAGGTTCCCTTGAACCCTGTATTGACTTACTAGTTGCTTAGGTGTGTCAACACGTAGTACAAACGTACTTCTTGTCCTGAATACAGGATTATCATCCAACTATGATAACCAACACTAACGGTCATTATTTTCCCATGTTTTATTTTCCAAACAGGAGGTATCCAAATACCCCTCTCCCACCCTCTTTCTCTCCCTCTACCTCGTTTGATTTTCCTTCTCAATTAGGAATCTCTCTCCTTCTGTATTCATCTTTTTCCTGGATTAAATATCGTAGAGGTGTAGAACATCTTTTTCTGCCCAAAGATAATTAAGTGCAACATTCCATTTTCCCTGGAAAGTTTCCCCTCCATTTCTGAGCATCAACTCAGTTTCCGGTGTCCTATTTCCAGGTACCCGAATGATCATCTTCTTTCCTTCTCTTTATATGCATGCATGAGGATGCACGTGTATCTATTAGCTACTGTCTGTTCATGCATGCATGTTATGTATATATAACAATTATTAAAAAATAACATTAGAGTTATTTATTTATAAATATGAATTGGTGACATGCTTTCAATACTGGATTCGCCTCTGTCCATGGTTCAAATGTATAATTTTATGTGTATTTTGTGGTTTTGTGTTTGTGCTGGATATTTTCAATATATTTATTCGGGGCTCTGAATTTATAGATGAATTTTGGTGTTTTGCAGAAGTATGTTTAGCCTACTGTGAATGAGGAAAGGGCAAATCCAATCATGTGTAAGTCGAGGGACACGTGAATATATGGCCACATCCATTGGAAGAGGGAGGAATTCGGGACAGAGGTGAATCCAAGATTAGAGTCCAAGTAAATATTCCAGGATTAGAGTCAGTGGATGTGATCTATTATATATGTGTATACATTTTTAAAACTCCTTGTTTTTACCTATGTACACATTGTCTGAACAGAAAGCAAAGGTTCAATTGAATCCACTGCAAAGGGTTAGATTTGCCTCTGGTTTGGGAGGTTTTTGAAGAGGATTTGATCCCTCCTTTGGTGTTTTCTTTTTTAAAAAGGTTTGTTAAGTAAGGGAATCCGGGTCAGGGAAGGGGAAAGAGAGACTGGGAACCGAATCACACCTATTGTGTGGGAGACCCCCCTATGATACCACATAGACTATAAGCTTGGTCTCTTCTTTTTTTCTCATTTGTTTTACTAGAACTGATTTCCAATTTGGGGCTGAAGGATTTACTGGTTTTTGGTAGGATAATGGATTCTGAAAATTTGCCCTTGTCAACCAGCCCGGCCAAATGTTGTGACCGCGAGTGCAGTTGTTGTATGATGAAAAGATCCTTTTCAGGGACTTGGTTTCGGTCAGTGAAGCGAAAGTATGATGAATATGCTGAAAGTGATGATGAGAAAAAGCTTTTCATTCCAGGGTTCATCTTACCTCAAACAGCTCGTGTTGAATTCGAAAACGAATGTGCAGCACTTCGGGAAATGGTGAGCAGCCAACAACAGACGATTAAGGATTTAAGCAGTGATTTAGAGGAAGAAAGAAATGCATCCTCCTCAGCAGCCAAGGAGACAATGTCAATGATATTGAGAGTGCAAAGAGAAAAGGCAGAAGCTCAAATGGAATTAAAACAATACAAGAGGTTGGCTGAAGAGGAAAAGGCACATGACCAGCAGGAGATAATGGCAATGGAGGATTTGTTGTACAAGAGGGAGCAAACAATTCAGTCCTTGACTTGTGAGGTACAAATGTATAAGCACAGAATGATGAGTTATGGGCTCACTGAAGCTGAGGTGGAGGGTCATGAGAGTGAGAAAGAGAATGGGGGCGGCCATTTTAGCCGAAACAATAGTACTGTGGCTGATGACACTATAATTGATGAGCAATTTGATCAAATTCCTACATATGATTACCCTCCATTGAAATGCTATATAAATGAGAATCAAATATACTCAGAGGTTGATAATGAGGTGGTGGATATCGAGAAATATGCATTTGGAGAGACCCCACGTTCGCATGATCAATTGCGTGATTTGGAGGATAGGATCAATCAGCTGGAGAAGACACCAAGAAGCACTGCCGATGGAGAGATATTTAAGAACAATGTCCTTGAAAAGGTTATAGTTGGTCACTCCCCTAGGAGGCTGAGACATTTAAGGAAATACTCAACTGATAGTTTAGCTTCTCCTTTTGCAAAAATTAAAGAAATAAGCTCAGATTTCACTAGGAAAGAACAGTCACAAACAGAGGAGTATCCAAAGGTGGATAATTCATCACAAGTTGGAGATGACATGAGTGACAGAGTGTACACAATTGATTCTATACACCAGGAGGCTAGATATAACGTCGAGCCCAAGGCAACGGTTGGAGTAGGTGATGATTATACAGTTACCCCAAGGGGTTCATTAAATCATACAGATTTTGGAGATCCTGAGGTCACTAAACTGTACCTTAGGCTTCAGGCACTTGAGGCTGATCGCGAGTCAATGAGGCAGGCTATTATTTCTATGCGGACTGATAATGCACAGATGCTATTGCTCAAGGAAATTGCTCAGCAGTTGTGCAAAGAGATGTCACCTGCAGCGAAGACACGAGTTAGGAAGCCATTGGTAATTGGGGGCTTTTCACTCCTGTCAGCTTTCAAGGTACGATAACTAGAATAACTATGATCAATATATCCTGTTTCCCAGTAAATTGTCATTTCAGTTCACAATATATGGTGCATAAGATCTTTGTCCAAGATATTGCAAAGATAACAGAAACAAGGTTACTCAATCTTGGCTTTGTGACTCAATTTTGTCAATTTCACTTGATTTTTTCCTTAATCGATGACTAGATTAGTCTAAAATAATGTTCTTGTACAGGACATTTGAATTACCTTTTTTTTTGTTAAGAATTAGCAAAAGCTACTTCTTGTCTTCTGATATGAAAACTTGCCACCCTTGCTCCACCCCATCTGATTCCCCCCTGCTGGTTTCTTTTTTGGTCCCTGTCATGTTTTCTGGTTTACTACAGATGACATATTTGTCTATTTATTTCTATTCAGTGGATTATATCCCTTGTTCTATGGAGAAGAAAAGCACGGCGATGCAAGTGAGTTGATTTTCGCCCAAGCTAGTTTCTAGTATTAGCTAGTTGATCAAATTGGCAGCACTCAAATACTCCTAACTTATGATGAAACTTGTATAGGTACATGTTTGGAATGTCAGCCAAGAATACAGGGTTGAGAATGCTCTTAGACAAGGGACCGCGTGTGGGGCGTTGGAGATGTATCTCCAGTACACAGGTGAAAAAAACCAGTTTTCAAAACAGCAATGTGTTCTTACTCTATAGAAGAGTTACTATCTGTTTACTCTTGCATTTTGACAAGTCCAAAACCCAAATCTATATGATGGATATTATTGCATCTTAGATGATCAAGAGGGCCTGTTGTGATACTAGGGAGGTCATTCTAGTTGTCTATTTTAGATAAGTATAAGTATTCAGATACATCTTTCATGATACTTCTAAATTTTAATTGTGGCAGGTGCCATCTCCCATGTACAAGGACCGATGGCTTGGGATAGAGAACTTGAAGGACTTGTAGTATGAAGTCACATCTAATGGATGACATTGAACTTTTACAATTGCTTAGGGGCTTTCTGGGCCTTGCAATATTTGTTCCCTACCAAGGAATGTAATTTTGTTTCGGCCTCTTAGAAATCAGAAACTCCTTTGTGTTATTTACCCGTATTCTTTTTATTCTAAAGTTTCATTACCCCTAACTTTTATGGATTTAAGTTGTATATACTTTTTACATTGTCAATGCGTAGAACTTACTATGTTCTCATTACCCCTATTGATCTCATCAAACTCAATTTAACTCAGACAATTACTGATAACCTCAAATTAAGAATGATCTTACTGAATTATGAAGCATAGCATGCACAAAGACATACTCTTAGAGGAAACTATCATGAATTCATTTTGAACTTCTAGGAGGAAAAATATCAATTGTGCAACTCCATCTACAACTAAAAGGTGGACATCCTTACCAAACTCAGTTAACCATGGACGCAAAGCAAACATATGGTGGTTATACGAAGTATAAACAAAGAATCATTGTAACCGGCACCACTAAGCTGTCATGTTTAGTAGCAATAGACACCACCTCAAAAAATGCACAACAGAGTTACAAGAGCACATTCCAACTATTGTCAATGCTTTATACGTGCTAGAAAAAGTATGTGGTGACGATGGAGTAGCACGTGAGCAAAAGAAGCGTGGAGAGAGAGAGAGAGAGAGAGAGAGAGAGAGAGAGAGAGAGAGAGAGAGAGAGAGAGAGAGAGAGAGAGAGAGAGCTCCCACATATGATGATATAGTTAATAAAATTCCAAGAAACTAATTTGCACAGAGTCAAACTTTACATCATTGATAGTTTGATCAGAAGAAGACATTTCAAATGAGTGACTCACGTCTTGACTCATGGAGTAACTAACTGAGAATGTGAACCTTGCCAAGCCATTCCTGGTGCCACAACTCATCAGCCTATGAAACCTAAAGAATCACACAAGTCAAAATTAACATTAAAAACAGAATGAACAAAAACACAATTACAAAGCTGATACACCTATACTTTCTTGGGACACATTTCTGAAACTGATGAGAAAAAAGAGATGTACATCTCTCATTTGTTATACTGCTATTCCACATGGCATCTTTAAGGTTAAAGTAACAGCCAAATATTCCTTCAAGTTCTGCGGTTACAAATAACTATGAACTCCGATGAAAAGTAAGTATAGACGCCAGTTACTACATTACGCTCCGACAAACACTTCTAGCTAGGATACATTGTGTATCAGCACCACATCGAGATAATGACAGGATTTCAAAATATCTGGCCTTTTTAATGGTTAATAAAGTTCCTGATTGCAAGAGATCAACATGTTATTCTGTTTTAAACTAAGAGAAAACGCATTCCTTATATGTCATCACACCCTTATGGGTTAAAGAGTATTCAGTCTTTTGACAAATAAATGCACATGGCACCAATACCATAATCACGCATTACAAGAACAACATTAAAAGATTGATTTTTTACCAATTGACTGAAGATGAGGACACGACTCATATGTTAGTCAAATCCACTGGTGTCATCTTGCATGGGACATGGAACTTTGAGCAGAAACCTTTGGATTTTGAACTACCAATTCTTTCAGATGATTCAGCAATTTTAGCTGAAACAACTAGATGCATGGGAAGCCAGACCTCTTAAAGCTTTATCCTAACAAAAATTGTAAAAGTTAAGTCCTTTGGTTTTGACAGAGTAAAAAGAGCAGTTCAAGAGGATAAACACTGGCAAGAATAAGTACCATATCAACAGTTGACAATGACAAGCCATGTGACTTATCACTATCTGTGACACTACGGAAGGTATTTGCGTTGCAGTTTTCACTTGGGCCACAAGTTTGAGCTTTGTGATTTTTTCCCTTAACTGTTGACATAAGAGAGTCTCTGGGCTTTTAATGGCAATAAGAAGAAAAGCAGAAAGATGCATCAGACAGCACATACCTTCAAAGAAACTACAATTCTACATATTTACCATTACTTATGATGTTGACTCTCAGTAGGAAATGCTGAAGGAACAGAGGACTTTGTAATACTAGCACTATTCTCTGCCAGAAAATTTTGCTGCGAGCAATACAAAACAACAATTTTGAATTGGATAGACGGTTACATGAAATTCTTGGGAGAAAGAGAAACTATTGACCAAAGTATTTGCTTAATGAAATTAGATCCCAAATGACAAAGACTTGTATATTTAAGAGGAAGTACGCCACACCTTGACATTGTCTTTTCCGGGAAGTAACTTTAACCTAATGTACTTTGGGTTCTTTAATAGGTCAGAATTCTTAGTCTCCGGGAAGACCCCGCTGTAATTCCAACATGTGACAAGCCTCACTAAGTTGCACTACCATCAAAATATACATTAACTGGGGACAAATTTACCTCATAGAACTACTGCTGGGGCTGGCGATTCATCCACAAGTTCCACAATTGTTTTTTCCTCTTCAGTTGTTCTACCTGCAAATTTACGCAGTACACCGCTAATAAGATATCCTCTACATCAGCTTGCTCTCATCAATTATTTGGTTAATTTCCTATTCCTGTATCACTGGTTCCACTCAGTTTAATGTATCAGATGCAAACGACATCCTATTTGAAAATATAGTAAAAATTCCCACATCTACAAAATCCGGACAAATGTGGAGATTTTTTACACTATCAGGTCATATGTACCTAAGTCAACTGCATGTAGTTGTTTATAGCAAAGCATGAGTAGAGAAAAAAATTGGTAATTGGCTAAATTAGCATGAAAAATCTTTATATTGTTAGTTTATAAAGCTTTTAGTTCGTGGGATTGTAGTGCAACGACATTAACCTATAAACTTATTGAAATTATTATCTCTAGTTTTACGTGAAGTTTAATCTATCAATCTCGAAAATCACAAATACTAAAATTTGCTGAATCGAGTGAACGTTATACTTGCCCAGAGGAGTGCGTTAGGATAAATTGAAGACGGGGAGAGAGCTCCGGTCGGCGATCAGAGAGAGAGAGAGATAGAGAGAGATAGGGGGAGGGAGTTTCAGAGGCCTTTTGTTTCGTATCGACTTGAACGCATAAATAAATGCGAGGTACATATAAGAAAATGATAAAATGGTCCCTTATGTTTGAGGGTAGATTTAAAGTAATTCCTTAAGTACTCACTAAGCAGCTTTGGTCCTTTAAGTTTGTCAAAAGTTAACACTTTTGGTCTTTGTCAAATATTTAACAAACTCTGTCTGATTGACGGGAACTCAAGTATGATATTTGTAGTTTCTGCTATTTTTTTTTTGTCTATTTTTAGCGCTTTTGAGTTGTTTAAATGTCACAAATTTCAAAAATTTTTATTTTTTCTTAAACTTCAGTCAAACTGTGTCACATATATTGAAACAGAAGAAGTATGTTTCACGCAATATGCAAAATTCAATAATAAATGTTCAATAAAGGTAGCTCAAAAGAGAAATAGTAAGGAGTTGAGGAGAAAGGGGAAGAAATAATATTGTGTCTCAAAAGAGAGAAGCCACTACTCGTTACTATAACAAGCAGTTTTAACAAGAGAAGAAGTTAAAGACTCTCCAAAATGTAATTCATTAGTACTATACAAAGAAAGAATGTAATACACATGAAAATTCATCTAAGTGAGTGAAACAAGGCTGATATTATGTCTACGCCTAAAGGTAAGGACAGAAAAGCATTGGGTTTGGACGTAGGACTATCATGCATTACTTGTGCTGAAAATGCAAATTTGATCCAAAGCAATAAAACTGGAGACTCAGCGAAACACCAGAAACTCAAAGTTCATATCTGCTTCCACGGTATCTGCAGTAGTACTTTGTGATCAAATAAAGGGCCTAGCAAGCCTGAAATTAGAATGGGCATGCAGAATAAATTGAAGAAAATAGATAAATTAACAAAGATATAAAATGGGAATGCTAAGATGGAATAAAAGATTTAGCCTTCAGTCTCCAATGCCTGGCTAATCTTTAAAGCAAGTATATATAATGCAATCAAAGCTTCTGTCGCCATGTAATGATAATACAAAAATAACCAATGAGTTAAGGTCAATATCAAGTTTTACCGGATTCTAAGGCCTCCACAATGCCAATGCTCACACTCTTTTGTTACCATTCTTACCAAAACCTGTGTCTTGCATCATTGCTACAAATTCATTGTAATCAATGCGCCCATCCTGAAGAGAAAATAAGCGTAGGAAACTAATTAGTTTGAAGTTTGAGCATTCTTCATTCTCAGTACTATAATCACGTTCTTTTCTATGTTAATCATGCATATTGTGTATCTGAATGGTATTAGAAATAAAACTCTGATCAGAATGATAAGATCACGAGTATACATTATCTTGATCGACTTCACACATAAGTTCTTCCATGGGAATATTGCTCAAACCAAACTTCTCACAAGCCTGTTGGAGCTCTTCCTGTGTAATATATCCACTACCATCTTGATCAAAATATGAAAAGGCGGCATACATGTGATCCTCCTTCTGAACTTTGTTTAGATGGAGCATAGCAGCGATAAACTCGCCATAGTCAATGGTACCACTATTATCCATATCTGCCTGCATTTTTCCACGGAGAAATGAGATAAAATTGCTAAACAAGGATCAGACTTAATGGTTTATTGTTCGAAAGATATAAATGCCTGCAGATGCAATGATGTTCAACATTTTGCTAACCATTTTATTCTATTCAAGATAAAATCTATATATCAGCAAAAAAAGATTACCTCTGAAATTCAATTCGTTACTTCAAACTTCAGGTAGACAATATCAGTGGTTGGTCACTTCAAATAACTTATAAATTTCTCTAACAATTACATTCTTGATTGTTGTGATATGTGTGGTTGAAGCAGGCAAAAAATTTTATTGCTCACTGGGGGAAGTTTACTGAACAGTTACTTATCTTAAGAAACAAAATTGAGCCTTTCTCTATTTTGGCCTTTGTACTGCTCCTCTGGTTTTGCATAAGGATAGTGTTGGGCTAAACTAGCCCAAATACACTCTTAATATGGTGTGATATTGTCCGCTTTGGGCCAAGCCCACACGGTTTTCCCCAAAAGGCCTCACACCATTAAGAGATCCCTACACCTTATATGTAGACTCCCAATCTTTTCAGCTACCAATGTGGGACTTTGTTCGCACACCCAACAGATAGGAATATTTATGCGGTTGGACCTCTAATCAAAAGTTTGGCAGACTCAATGCTGATGTATTATATCTTTCATAATTTCATTAGGGAATGCAACTAAGAGATCAATATTTCTGATACTACACTGCCCTTGGATAATACAAGGGCACAACAAATAATAGGTATAAGGTGTTGTCCTTTGAACAAGAGTAAGGTTATTGAACACAAAAAATAAAAACAAAACCAAAAATGAAAAAGGAACTTTTGCGTACCGCTTGCATTAAACTATTAATTTCTGAATCCTTAAGATTGGCACCCACTTTTTCCAGACCCTTTTTCAGTTCCTCTAGCGTAATATGTCCACTGTTATCTGCGTCTATCATTTTGAACATTTGCTTCAGTCCTGCAATTTCCTCTCCAGACAGATTTTCAGCAATAACCTAAACAAAACAGCTGAACTGGTCAATCACAATAATAAAAGCCTATTATTAGTTGGTAACAGTAATATGAAAGGATATTCTGTTTCTGGTCAAACAACAACTGCGCCTCAATCTCAAACAAGTTACGGTCGGCTACATGAATCACCACTAATCATGTTCCCCGTTTAAATTCATCTCAAGGCAAAATTATACAAATAAAAATGTGAAGTGCTAGAAGTAAAATATTGTGAGACATATATTGGAAACAATTAAACATAAACCATTTTCTTTTTAGAACAGATATAGTTCTAACGTTTGTTTCTACTAAAGATTATTTATCGTCAAAATGAGAAATAACAAATATAAGACCAGTGATCAAAGGTGCCAGGAATTGGAACTTACTCTGATTGCTATCTTCTTTAATTTATTCATTGCAGAAAATTGATTGAGACGAGTAAGAACAGCAGAATCAAGAGGCTTATCTGGAGCAACCCCACCTACACGGACCCACGGGTGACCTGAAATAGATAATAAACAGTCTTTCATTCAATTCAAAGAGCATCCAAATGAACTTAACCAAATATACAGACAGATAAATGGACTTCTTCAGGCCACTGATAAGTTAAGAAACTGTTGAGTTTCTATCAATTTATGAATGCTTTTTCAATTACTATGCCATAGTCTCTATTAATCGATCCATCAAAGAAGGTCAAGTAAAAGGTCAGAATCTCTATTATCCTATCCATCACAGAAGCTCAAAGTACAAGGCCTATCTTCCTCATCTTTCACAATTTTGTTAAACCAATATGGTTGCTAGGCGCGTAGGCCTTCTAATCATGTGTCCAACCTGACCACACTTTAGCAAAACGCTACACCGAAAACAAAGTTGCTCAAACATTAGCTTTAGACGAATTGCAGCTTCTGTCCATCATTTCCTTCCTTTAAATGATCTTATGCTTTGAAGTGTAGAAGTAAATATTGATGTTCAAAATTAACATTGTTTTCTATCTCATGAAAGTCACCTGATGTATAGCCAGAAAGAATGTCCAAACCGTTGAATTTTCTACATCTGGTTTACAGTACAGCGGATGCTGCAATGAGAAAAAGCTAATAAGCCGCGAGCGCGCGACTGCTACCAAGATCCAGTGTTTAATATATTTTTCTTTTGGCATTTCCAGTTTCTCTCACTTAAACTTTGCCCGTATTTCTTCAAAACACATTGGAAAAAAGAAAAACAAAAGAGGATAACAGGAACAACCAATATTTCTGCAACAAATAGAATAACCATTTTAACCATGTTCTAACTTCTACCCTAAGAATGACCTAGGAAGTAGGTCAAAATCTGTTTCAGCAGACAAGTATACAGACTGCACGACCATGTAACGCCGAGAATAAAGGATGAGAAATTTCACCACCAAATACAAAAATACAAAAGGATGCAAGAGATTAAAGGATTGAACTAGTTAATACTGCATCTTACAGAGAACTTCATGAGCTGTCAACCGCTTTTTGGGGTCTCTCGCAAGCATTCTTCTGACCAGATCTTTTGCACTTTCTGATATAGCTGGCCAAGGTTCTGATACTAAGTCAAGTTCCCCTTTCACAATCTGTTCAAATATTCCTTGCTCCGTTTCTGATAGAGATGCATTAGGCAACATGATCAATATATCACGTTAGCTTAAAATTATAGAAACAAATTGTGAAGAAAGAAAATCTCACCATCCCAAAATGGAGGCACACCACTAAGAAGTATATAAATAATGACTCCAGCACTCCAAATATCACATTCTGGACCATAACGCTTCCGCAAGACTTCTGGGGCCACATAGTAAGGGCTTCCAACGACATCGGTGAAGGTTTCACCTGGATGCAAAAAGATTTTAATTCTTGGTCAGTCGTCAGAAAGCAAGTTACAACAGCTAGAAGAAACAGATGACAGCAACAATAAGATCCTGCAATTACATTTAATCATAAATGAATGATAACTATACTACTCCAAGGAAAATTGGATACTTTTCTGCAACTATTGACCCTACTAAACAAAGTAGATACATACAGGGATTTAATGACTACTATATCAGCATTAGATAACTAGGATCCCACAGGGAGTGGGAAGTAAGATTTCATGGGTTGATTTTTTTCGATACTCAGAGTTTTCTACTAGTTTGGAAGGAAATGGGCTCTGCTGGTTTTACAGTAAACAGAAGCTGCACGTGCAAAAATTCTTCAAGCAGCAAATTTCTCACATCCATAGCTTCACAAAATTGATAGCTACAGGGCACAATACCAAGTTTTGTGCTCCTATGAGTGAAGAAAAATATTCCCAATCTGAAATTTATGCAGGTGTTGTAATTATAAGAAAAATGCTCCAAGTAACTAGTCCAACTTAAGAATATGATATACTTGTCTGTATAAATCAATTTTATATTGCATATAGCTTGTGATATTTTAATAAGATTCCAAACCGTATGCCCCAGAATTGAGAAGTTCACTTTCTAGAATAGGCAGCAGAAATGTAGGGAACATATGAAGATGATTTCTCAGTTATTTTAACATCATAGTAACAGGAAATTACAGGCTTTAGTGCCATTAAATAGCAACAGATTTGTCAATGTACAGGATCCCATCTATCTGGAGTAATTCAGGAGATCCAGTCTGCAAGTCCATGATGAGTAACTACGCTATTACAGGTAAAAACTGAATTTATGATGTTAGAAGCATGAGTGAGGAAATGAGGATTTTTGGGGTGTTGATCAAATGTAGTTGCATCTACTTCTTCCTTTGCCCTGATTTGGCATTGAGATTTGAGACCTTGTAAAATCAGTATAAGACTACTAAAAGCTCACAGGAGTAACTTTCAAATTGCAACCTCATTAAAAGGATTTAAAAATTATGTTATATTTTGCATAATAGAGGTTTAAAAGTACAAAAGGCGTCTTTGCTATCTTGAGAAACCAGTTCCAAAACTTATGTATTGTCATCCAAAGGATGCCTAAGAAAGGGTTTCTGATAAAGTCTTAACATACATTGCCGAAAGGTCAACAGAAACTTGTGGAAAGAAAAATAACAAAGGAAGGTCCTCAACAAACTATCACATTCATAAACGGTGGAAAAAGATGATTGAAAAACATCCTTAACTAAAGCTTTAAGTGTGTGTTTAGTCCATATAACACAACTAACAAATGATATGCAAGTTAATCTATTATTGCACGGATGAATTTGAGTTCAACAATTTCCAGTAAGTTCCTGATAGATGACTGATCAAGGGACAAGATTAGCACAAGTACTTAGGGAACTTTGTTTAAGCAGAATAGATACCTGGTCTAAAGAACATAGATAACCCAAAGTCAATGGTCTTTAACGGCGACTCCTCTTGCTCGTTGACAAAAAGGAAGTTCTCAGGTTTGAGGTCCCTATGCATAACTCCCAATGAATGGCATGCTTCTACAACACCTACTATTACTCTTGCAAGTTCAGCAGCCTTCTTCTCTGAATAATGCCCCCTTTTAATAATCCTATCGAAAAGCTCCCCACCAGCACAAAGCTCCATTACGACATGAACAGCAACAGCATCCTCATAAGCCCCAACAATCTGTACAACACTAGGGTGCCCTGCCAAGTGGTGCATTATCTGAATCTCTCTCCTTACATCCTCTATATCCTCATCAGTTGTCAACTTCCTTTTAGCAATTGACTTGCATGCAAATTCCTTTCCTTGAGCTTTGTCCACGCAAAAAAACGTTGTTCCAAATTGCCCTTGTCCTAGTTTCCTTCCTAAAGTATAAATTTCTTTCAAATTGCCTGTTTTTCGTCCCAAAACAGATTCAACTTGAAGCCCTGCACTCAATACTCGCTTAAGATTACTAGACTTGTTTCTTTTCACATCCTCCACTGGCTTATTGGTAACGGTATCATTGCCATTTGCACTGCTGTTTTTATTAGTGTCTTCCACTTTGACACCCTTTTGGGAATTTCTTGATTTGTCATCCTGAGGCTGATCCCCAGGTATCTGAAGATGGGGAGGAGGGGTGCTCTGGACATTAGAGCTAACAGAATCAGAACCTTTTGCTTCTGTCTTTGATGAATCTGCTGAATCTTTGTTCAAAGTGGGTCCCGAGCATGTATTCCCCATCAAAAATTAATAAACGTAAGATATTGCTCAGAATTAAAATCTCAACCTTTGTCGAATCCCAATATTATCCAAACTTGCTTTTATTGATACCATGATCAACATAAATAAATGCACTCAAAGAAAAATATTATAATTTATCAATCTTCAATTTTCCTTGAAACTCAAGAATTCGACCAAAAGTCGGTTTAACATGCGAGAAGAAAGCAAAGAGATTGACCTTATCTTGGAGCTGTCACAAGAAGCTCCAAGAAAAATCAAACCAGAAAATGATTATAGAAATCTGTAGAGAAATGAGGGAAATATTGTTCTCTTTCCTTTTGGGGGGTTGGGGGGGTGGAGGGGGGGGTGGATCAATTTGAGTGGTTTTGATGAAATTCGTTAATTTCGTTGATGATTTGCAGTGTGCCTTTGTGCATGCATGCATGTGTTATGTGTAATAGTGCATTACGGTTCAAAATATTCTACCGCTCGGAGGGTATTTTCTCTTTAATTTATAACGAAACTGATATGAACAATAAAGTTAAATTGTATTACTAAGTGACGAAATGTAGGTCGCATAACATTGACACAAGGATATCTTTTAATTTTAGTTAGAAGAGAGTTGAAAAATTATGGAGGGGTGCTCTGTTACGTACATTGTAAGTATATCCTCTACATTATTACTTTTCGCTTTTTGTTATTGCTTGTAATTAACCATCAATGATCTATTATTGCTACCTCTTTTTTATTGTTAATAATATTTAAGGGTTTTTTCTTGCCAATTAAATAGGGGACTTGGAAGCAATGGCCGAGTCCGGAATTCTGGTAAGGAAATTAAAAAAAAAATAATAATAATAATAATAATAATAATAATAATATGATACTTGGTTTTTGTTTTCTTATACTAAAATTCGGCCTCACCTCACCAAGAAAGATATGATGCCAATACAAGCTCCTAACCTATCGTGACTTGAAAGGCTTACAAACTAAAAAGAATTACACAACCTCGTATTCACCACACCACTCCACAATAAGATGGGAAGAAATAAACCAATGAAAAGAATTACATCACAAATGAAAACTAGCTTGAATTTGGCATTGACGATCAGCAATCTGCATACCGGATCCCTATTTCGCGATGTAAGGAAATAGTTATTGGAATACCAAGCTATTTGACAGAGACGACTTAGCAACTCCAACACAAATTCATATATATGATCTAGGCAACAATAGAAGGATCCTGCAAGACGGAACTTCAGTTTCAGTATACCAGTAATAGTACACTCAATTTGGATCCTGAATACAAACAAGCAAGAATGCAGAAAAAGAACGAAATGGCAAATGGAGGGGGGAGGCATCTAATTTCCAATTCCCATAGAACAAGTGGGAAGATGGCAATGACCTCAGTGATGATGGAGCTTTGAGGTAACCTCAAGGCATCTAATTTCCAATTCCCCTTTGCCAAACAGTAATGAGTCTCCAGAAGAAAATATTGTGTATCTTAGACGTGATATTTTGGCAATAACTACAACAGCAACAAAAAACCTAGTGGAATCCCAAAAGTGGGGTCTGGGGAGTACGCAGACCTTACAAAGGCTGTTATAGACCCTCAGCTCAGGCCAGCATAGACGCAGCAATAAAGCAAAAGAAATATGGTAATGAAAAAGTCATGGAAACAGCAGTAAAAACAGCGAGATAGTAACCAAACCGAAGCAGAAGCAACATCAGATAGTGATAGACATCCAAGAATAAGACAAAATAAGAGTAAACTAAAAGAGCAAAAAGCATATGTCCTCGTTATAACATGACTCTTGATGAAGGTACTCAATATTATCCCACCTATCAGAATATTTCATTTCATATGTTTTACTATTGTTGTTTGTGATCTAAACGATCAGGATAATGAAAATGAATTGATAGACAAAAGGTAGACTTAAAAATTTACAGGAGAGGAGAGAAACGAGGAAAACCATACCTTTGCTGTCAAATTTGACAATGCAAAACTCCATTTTTCTCTTGTTTTTGTACTAGCAACTTGCCCAACTTTAGCTACTTTAGTAAAAGCACCATTCAACCAGGCAGCTCCAGCATTAACATACCTGATCAGCAACAAAATAATGGAAATGTGGAGCTTTAGTAATATTATAATAATAACAACGCTTTTATGCTTTCCACTAGAGTACAAATGGTTAAACCGATCTTCTATTTGGGAGATGCATTATATTTAGTCTATCCCTTTTTTTTAGGAAATGCACGACGATAGGCAAAGTGACTGGCCATACACATTTTTATAAGATGTTTATCACAGAAGATCAAATCAAGATGATCTTTGCCTCCTCAACCAACTGAAGTTTTTGAACTCTGATCCTTCTTCAGCAAGTAAGAGTAACATGCCTAATTTTCAACTTCAACGGTGTATGATCAGTAAGCTATGCAAAACCTAAAAGTTGAAGAATTCATTTTAATAGGGAAAGCTACTAATAATGGTAGCAGGACTCGCAATTTAACAAGAGTTTGAAATTCTTTAAGGAGATGTTACGAGGCCCCCTACTAGATAATGCATAAAATGTAGCAGTAATATTCAAAGCAATGGTTCAATGCCCAATGCTCTCTCAGATGTCAAATCAAGAAATCTGCTGACAAAGCAATCCAAACTCTGCTGTTCAATGAGATAAGATGTAAACCTGACTACAGAAGGGAAATGATAATTGGCAAATCATGGAATGTATAAGAAAACTATTTTTTTTTTCTTTGCTTTTATCAGAATGTTGCGAGGAAAGGAAAATATATGCTGTTCCCTTCACTCAATTTAAGTAAGTGGCCCCAAGGGGGAAAACTGGTAGCCCTCTTGCGCTATTCCTCCTCTTTTAACAAATAAACAAGAGTAGAGAATTGTAAACTTTCCTATTCCTTTCTCTAGTTCAAAATGTAGGGTAATTCAGCTGATATAGCCACTAACAGCATGCACGATTCTCTCAGGAGAATATCTCAGTAAATAGAAGCAAACAAAGAAACAAAAGACAGCAAGTAATAATGTAGAAACACTAAGAACTAACTGTGGCAACAACTACAGAAAAAATTGGCATTGTTAAAATAACTGATTTGAATCACATAAACACTTTAAAGAATCCAGACCTGCTTGATTTGACCGCTGATCCTGTGTCATTCAATTTCCGTTCTGCTGCCATAACTGCAGCCATCGTTTTATCTGACACTTGAAGCCTTTGATCAACAGATTTAACTTTCTCATTTACAACTGAAATTCCAACCGTAAGCTTTTCTGTTAGACCAACTCTTCGGTCAAAGGAAACGACTCTGGCAGATGCAGTGGCTCTTAATTGGTGTCTCTCATCAAATGCCTTGGCTTTATTCACCGCATCTTGTCTGATAGCTAAACCTTTTGCCAACATATTTGAGACAACATCTTGTGCTTTGCTGATATATACTTTCCCATTCACCCTTGCATTGCTAGGAGAAGTAGGTTTGGCCTGCTAACAGAGACAAGTGATCAAGAGATGATACAAGTAACGCAGAATATTATAAAGCCGAAAAGAGCCAACAATAAATACAGAGGCAAAAACAAATATATGCCTGCAAAGTGCATCGAAGGACAAATCATAATACATGAATCCTACACCACAAAATACTTGCATATGGTTCTTCCATATCTAAAAGCTCTCTTAGAGACAGCAACTTTTATGATCTTGTGGGCAAAATATGCCCAACATTTTAATAACTCAAAAGAAGAATTACCCAGCTTTATTTACTTTGTTACCTCAGCAAGTGGAGAGGAACTTTCTCCGGCCACATTCACTGCATTATCAACTATCCTGACTTCCTGTGAGCAATGAGTAGACTACATAAATTTCCAATATAGGTATTTCTAAATTATTATATGTCCGTAACTGATTTTTGCAATTATATGTTGAGAGATAACACTTCCACACTTGTCTATGTAGTTACCCGAGTCTCGGATGGTGGAACATAGTTTTCTGCCCGAGTAATATTTACAATCTGATCCACTATGGTTGCTCCCTGCAAAATGAGTAGAACTGTAAGGGTACTCAATCCTGCAAACAAGCAATTCTAACAAATCAGTAGCAGTGAATATACATAAAACGAATTTCCATGTGCTGTATTAGCTTCCGAAGAATAATGGCATATCAAATTTTTGATGTACTATAGCATTTGTTCTCTATATTGAAATCAAGCAACTTCAGAACATTGTAGAGTAGGCATCATTAATCACTGGACAAAAGTAACAAGCAGATTAGGGGAGGTTGTCATATACTCATCATATTTCACAAAGATTGTTTCCTCTTGATAAGTAAGGTAAATTTTATAAATGGAAAGGACAGCACTAAGAAAGTGCGTCTAAATTTACATATTGTGCAACTCCCCAATCCTATCTAACAAAGAGTCAACATCATTTACATAGGCCAAGTTGATATATTTCATAAAGATTTTATATACAAGAATTAATTACATTGTCAAGTTATTTAAAACCCAAATACAAATATAGGTAACAGTTGGAAAATTTGTAAACTGTTGAATTTCCAAAGAAATGCTGAAAAACACACTGATGTATAGTTGAGCCTACATTCCATGTTTAGTGGCGAAACCTACCTGTACTTTCTCCATCAGACAAAAGATTAGCAAAAGAAAACAGAATCAGATTTATTATCTACACCTCCTTAAATTTCCATGGGTTAATGATGCTACACAAGGTCATACTTCGCATAAAGATCTATCTGTCATAATCTGCACACATTATTCGACTCTAATCAACTGTCCCTGTAGTGCTGCTAAATCATTTATTGCACCAACATAGAAAGGATTTAACAGTTTAAAAGAAAATTACACTCTCGATTTAGTTTAACAGGTTATAGCAAGTTTGTTACCATTTTATTCAAGCTACCAATAAATGCTTATTGAAGGGGCGCCTTGGCACCATGGTAAAAACTGTCAGCCGTGTGACAAGGAGGTCACCAGTTCAAGCCGCGGAAATAGCCTCTTGCAGAAACCGCAAGGTAAGAGCCAATACGGTCCGGCCCTTCTCCGGACGCAGCACATAGAGGGAGCTTAGTGCACCTGGTTGCCCTCTTTTTACCAATAAAATGCTTATTATAAAGAGTTACATGTACATGGTAGAGTAATTGTACACCGCAGTGGTTATAAAAAACTCATGTACGAATAGCTTGAAAGATAAAAACATACACGGTTCAGCAAATATAGACTATAAGTTAAGAAAATGAAAATTACCGACAACAACAAGGCAATTTCAAGCGCTTTCGGATCTTTAAACGTAACAAACGCAGTCTTCGATTGTCCTTGTTCTCTGCACTCCACACCAAAATTAGTCAAAAAAGGAACACTTGAACAATATACTGTTTAAAGTGTTTAAACCTCACGAAATATTGCAGAAAAGGTGAAGCTACTCACCGCTGAATCTCAATGCGCTCAATCTCGCCGGAAAACGAGAAGAACTCGCGAACTTCTCTTTCGGTCGCCAGATCTGATACATTACCTACCCGTACTGTTCTTACCTCCTAAAAGTACATAAATTAACCAGGAAAAAGTTAAATAATTCAGTTTACAGTGAAAAAAGAAGAAAATTCAAGTCCCGCCATGAAAATGGAAAACTTACCTGCATTGTCTTTAAAATCTCTCTCTCTCTCTCTCTCAGCTTTTCGTTGTGTTTGCTTAATGTGCAAGTGGGAAGAGAAGATATAATAAATGTGATGAGCTGAACAGGAATGTGACAGCGGAGAATGTAACTGTTATAGTTGGAGTTCCAAGATGATTAATTAAACTGCCCTGATTTTTGCCTAAAATATCGGTTTTGACATTTACTTTGCTAATTATTGAAGATTCCGTCTAATGTTGTTTTGATGGTCAAAGTTGAGTGTATTAGAATACGTATTCCGAAAGTCTTGTTTACGTAGGATTTAGGAACAAATTACAATTGAGTTCCCCTCTTTTGCTTTCAATCCACATTTACCTGTTTGGTTCACGAGTTGTACACTTTCTCCCTCTCTTAATCCACTCAAGGTATTTGCTTTTTGAGGGGATAAAGACAAGATTATCGAAATAACCTTTAAAGTTGTGATTACTTTTTATTTGACATCTCAATTAGGACTGCTAACCACTAAACACCTTTGGTACATCCAATATGTGTCTATTAAGCATCATGTATCCAAGATGTGACACAAAAAGTTACTTTCACCGGAAGTTGAACGTGTAAATATTTAAATATAGTATTTTTTTTCCTTTTTTTCTTAATCTTCTTCTTTATCTCATCTGCGTCGTCACTACCTCTCCACCATTTGTTGGACAATACAAACTGCCCTGAAATCAATATATAGCCTCACTTCTTCCCTCAAATTCATTCGCCAGAAGAATCATCCACACAAACAACTTCCAACTTCTAACTAGCGCGAATTATTATTATTAGAAAAAACCGTAGGTATGACCGAAAATATGATCAGAAGATACAATCTAAGCCTCGAGACTAACATGAAGAATAGCTTTAAAAAGATGGCAACTTTAAGGTTACGGGTAGCAGAAGAGTATCCATTAGATATAACAAAGCAAATATCATAGAAAGAAAGAACTCAAATCGCATTGTTGCAGCAATTCAAGCTCTATATGACCCACCATTTTCTTTTCACTTGATACGATATCCCTTTATTTTCTATGACCGCTGAAACCTTATAACAACTTTAAAAAAAAAAGGAGAAAATTGCCATTTTCCTCTGTTGACCAGTATTCATTGTTATTACATATGCTCTAACAGTGATGATATGATGGGTGTCATGTTTGTTGAAGAGCCAATGAGGCAGAAGAAGCGGAGGTGGCTCCATCAATATGGTTACGAAGGTGAGGAGGCCGGAGGTAAGAAAAGACAGATCGGAGGTGATGATTATTATTAAATTCAAGTTGCTTTGTTTTAACTGATATGGCTTTTTCCGTTAGTTACATAGCTACATTAGTCGAGCTTTGAACCTCACACACTTATCTTCTCGTATTCAAGTGGAACATTTTAGATATACCTTATGTGTCTAATGGGTAACAATCTTAGTTGATGTCTCAAAATAGCAAGTGTTGAAAACTTTACGGGGCTATTTGGACAAAAACAATCATTGCCAAAACATGTCTATAAGATAAGACAAAGGAGAGTATTTGTTTTACACTTTAATGAGATGATAAAGCTGGCATTAGCAGGCCTAAATCTTCTCTCAATTTTCCAAAGTAGGAGTGCTGATTCTTTATTCTTTTCTTGTTTTTGAATTTTGTCAAACGTCTATTGCCCTCAAAAATAACTTTGGGTGCGCCGACATGACAGGACTTGAGTTGGACTATGGGGCCTCTTTTTGTCCCCCTTCCCTTATCCGCCATGAGTGGGCACTAATTTCTCTTTCAGACTGGCCAAAATTTCGTCTTCCCCTTATATATTAAAATTTTATAATATTAAATATATCATAATATTTATATATGGTTATACAATCTCTAAAATTTATGATTTGAACAAGTCATAATATTTATATAACTATAAAAGCTTCTCAATAAAAAAAATATGTGAAAGTATCAAATTTTTTAGAACGAACTAATAGGAAATAATGCTAAATTAAGTGGCACGGAGAGAGTAGTAGATAGCATCTTGTTTTCAGGTTTCAACTCTACTCTCTCCATCCTAAATAACATAATTACTCTTTGTAAATAATTATTTTTGGCGTAATTTTCTGAAATAAATTTTGTGTTTTACATTTTTTTACCAAGTGGTGTTTTCTTTTATGTAGTCTAGAAAATATATAAATTATGTTTTCAAAGACAAGTTAAAATTATGTTCGCATATAAGATAAGAAATAAGTTAATTCTGCTCTTGTATGTAAAAATAATTGAGTTATCTTATTGGAACAAAAGGCCTTACGTAATAATAAGAAAATCAAATGGAAAAGTTATAAACTTAATTAATTCGCTGTGGACCTCTTTGTGTTTGTCCTTAATTGTATACTCTTACATTCTTGTTTAGGTTATAATACAACAAATTAAAGTTAATTAGTCTTCAACAATTGTAGACCTATAAATATAGTAAGCAAATCCAGAGAGAGCAGAAACTACAACCACGATAGCTGCAATACTAATGGCCACCTTTTTGAATTTCCTGAATCTTGAATTCTTTGATATTTGCTTCCCTACTTCCATTTCCATGGATTTTGTTGCTTTATATTCTTCCTTAAAACTTCCATTAGTTGAAGCAGCTGTAACTTTCTTTGGCAATGTAATTTTGAGAACACTTTTTTCAAAGTTTGCTTTTATCTCATCTGTGTTATGGTCCTTCGATACTGGAATTTCTTTGAAAAACTTTATCCTGGTTCGGTTCTGTACTCGGCGATCTCCTGAGATTTTTAAAACTCCAAAATTGCTAATTTGTACCTTCAAACCTTCTTTATCCTTGAATTCTTGAATGCAAAGTAAAAATAAATAAGTGTGCAGTCACATCGTCATACTAAATAAAAGTTTATCAAAAGAGGGGAATGCCAATGACATTAAAAGATTTATACAGCATTGCATATCATGATTTAATTTTATACCCCAAGTTTCTCAAGTATTTTATTTCTATTTTTCAGTAGTTCTAGATATTAAAACATTATTCCTTACTTGGGAGATGGACCAAGAGAACATCAAATCCTTCTTCATGTTGCCACTCACATGATGGCTCAAAATGACCTTCTAATGCTCCATCTTCTGTTTCCATTAAGGCAATATTTCTTCTGATTTTATATCTTAAATTAATGCTTCCAATCAATGGCTTTAAGATGCTACTCTCCCATTCTCTTATACATATATATATAGGGCAAAGATGGTACAAGATATGAAGCAAAATGGGAAGGGAATGTATTCCATTTTTGTTTCTGATGGTTTTCGTTTTGAGTTACTTTGCCGTTTCCCTAGATTCTTGCTCATAACACATGATGAGTTCCAAAGCAATGAAAAGTTCCATATTTACTTCCTATGTTACTTGCTTTAATCTTAAAAAATTATTTATTTCTCACAATGTATAGAAATTTAGTTACTGACTTCTATTTATATTGACTTATACTGTACATAATTAAATGATAAATAGAGGTAAATGTCATATATATTTTACAACAATAGTTAAGTGATAAACCTACATATATGACTGTATAGGGTCAAATTTGACCCTCAGCATCTCTACGCCAGTGGGTACGCCCAATGAGTGTACGCCGACTAACGTAGCGGGTGCGACTCGGACGTGGGGACAAAAGCGACATCGTTTAGGACTCAGTGTCTGCACTAGGGAGACGTTACCTGTCTTTGTAACTTTTTGATTCTTTCGAGGAAGGTCTCTTATTATATAAAGGAGACCTTCACATTGTAAAGGGGGGATTCTGATCTAATACAACTCTCTCATTTTCTGGCTTTCTCTCTCTATCTCTACCTCAAACGAACATATCTTACTGAGTTCATATTATCACTTTGCAATACTAGATCTACAACAATAATATCATCTTTGCATCTCTAGGTTTATTATATTTGATTACGATTTACCCTTTTCTTACTTTTGATTATTTTCTAGCTTACAAAGTATTGTTAACTTTTGAGCCAAACAATTTGGCGCCGTCTGTGGGGATTTCGAGAATCAAAACCATAGTATCCACCTAGAGATCAACCAACTACCACTCTCTACACCACCCAAAAATAGAAAATGGCCGAAAATAACACCAGATCGAAAGCTATATTGGGTGTCACTACCAATCTCCTTGGCCCTCTCAACGAGGCCAGTGACAATGGCATCCTGAATGCAACCCCTAGCATCACACCGGGTGCAGAGATCTCACCTTCCCCATCCGAAGGTCTGACGATCTTGCACGAAAAAGGAGCTTCCACATATGCGGCTACGGAAGCACCCTCAGCGGTCAAGGAGCTACTGGAAAGATGGCTAACAAGCACTCTAAGTGGCTTGGTTGAGAGGTCACCACAAAGTAACATCGGGTGTACACCAACGGTAGGTACCACTGCTGCCGTGGGTGAACCGGAAGTTGCACTAGCGAATAACAAACCCATCGAGACACAGAACAACGTTAGCACGCTAACAGCCATCCTAAAGAAGATGGAAGAAATGGAAAATGAAAACAAGGCGCTCCGCGGTCAGATGAAGGAACATCAGGAGAGGGTCGACAAGATCCCCGGTGCTCCCAAGTTGCTACCAAAACGCGACGTGGGAAGGTTCGTTGGACAACCATACACTGAAGAAGCTTCCCCTCACTCCACCCCAAAAACCTTCAAGATGCCACCCTACTTGAGGGTATATGACGGAACCACAGATCCCGAGGATCATCTGATCCACCACGTCACCGCTGTGAAGGGCAACGACCTACCGAAAGAACAGGTACCGTCGGTACTGCTGAAAAAGTTTGGCGAGACGTTGACAGGAGGGGCCTTAACATGGTACTCTCAGCTACCGGCTAAGGCAATATCAACGTTCGAGGAAATGGCGGATAAGTTCGTCACAGCCCATGCAGGCGCGAAGAAAGCGGAGGCCAGGGTCAACGACATCTTCGCCGTCAGGCAAACCACAGGAGAGGGACTCAGGGACTTCCTGGCAAGGTTTAACAGGGTAAGGATGAGTCTACCAAACGTATCGGAAGGTATGGCAGTCGCCGCTTTCCAGAACGGGCTAAGCAGGGATGGTTCGAGGGCAACCAAGAAGCTGCTGAGCCGCCTCATGAAATATCCCCCTACCACATGGGAGGAAATCCACAACGCCTATACGAGCGGACGAGGACGATCTTAATGGGCCGACCCAACGGCTAACAGCGATACACTCAGAAACGAGGAGAGATCGACGGAACGAAGGACGACGAGAACAACTTCCCCGCTCCAACAGAGATCGACATCAGCCATACACCAGATTCTCCCATCCGCCACCAAGGCACACAGACGCGCTACAGCGACACGTCGCCCCACTCCGAAACGAAAGAGGTACGCCCCCTTTATTAACCGCCCATAACTTTTGTGTATCTCCCTCAGAAATAGTGTACGCACTGGAGAAGCTGGGCACCAAGGTGCAGTGGCCGCAGAAGATGAAATCAGACCCTGCCACAAGGAAATCAAACGCCCTATATGAGTTCCATCAGGAACAGGGACACAAAACCGAAGACTGCATAGGCCTACGGCAAGAGGTGGTCAGGATGCTGAACCAGGGATACCTGAGGGAGTTACTCAGTGACACGAGAACAACCCCACGGGCCGCCGAAGCCACCTTCCCCAGCGCGCACGATAAACATGATCGTCGGAGGCGGCAACGAGTCAGTGATCAATCACGTCAAGTTCGCCACCACACACAGGCTAAAGCGGACCATCGCCCATGAACGGTATGACGACTTCGAAGATAGTATCACCTTCGATAAGTCTGATGCCGACGGTTTGTCTTTCCCTCATTATGATGCTTTAGTTATCACTTTACGTATCGCTGATACGGATGTTAAAAGAGTCATCATCGATGACGGAAGCGGAGCCTGTATTATCCACCCAAGGGTCCTCGTACAAATGGGACTCGAGGATAGGGTAATACCGCGCTGCATAACACTAACCGGTTTTAACAATGCAGTGGAACGGACATCTGGAGAAATAGCTCTGCCCGTCTTAGCGGGAGGAGTCACGCTGGAAACAACTTTCCACGTGATGAACCAAGAAACGGCGTACAACGTCATCATAGGACGCCCGTGGATACACGCCATGCGAGCGATCCCTTCAAGCCTCTACCAAGTGATCAAATTCTCTACCCCATGGGGAGTATTCAGTATTCGAGACGAGCCACGCACCACACAAGAATGCTACAAAATAGCCCAAGACTGCGCCCACACCCAACAGCTAAAGGGGGCGAGCGCGGAGGCATAGCAATTAGCCGTGTCGGGGACTAAGGTCAACCCGACAACAGACGCCATCAAAGACCCCGACGTCGTGGAGGCCTGTAAAGCAACGGTCGAAGAACTCAACCCAGTCCAATTGGACGAAACCAATCTTGCGAAGAAAGCCTATATCGGGTACGGTCTCGCCAACCCAAGTAAGTATTGTGAATTCTTAACTAACCATGCGGATTTGTTCGCCTTTTCCCATTCAGATATGCCGGGAATCCCGCGAGACATCGCCACCCACAAGCTGAATGTCGATCCACTACATCCGCCCGTGCGACAGATGAGGAGAAAATTCAACGCCGCTATCAATGAAGCGGTCAGTAAGGAAGTAGACGAGTTACTGGCCAACGGCTCCATTAGAGAATCAAAGTACCCCCAGTGGGTCGCCAATGTCGTCATGGTCAAAAAGAAAAACAGGAAGTGGAGAATGTGTGTGGATTTCACTGGTCTGAACAAAGCATGCCCAAAGGATTCATTCCCACTACCCCACATCGACCAACTGATCGACGCCACTGCAGGACATGAACTACTGAGCTTCCTAGACGCCTACTCCGGCTACAATCAGATCATGATGGCCGAGGAGGACCAAGAGAAGACAACTTTCATCACCCACCAAGGGACTTACTGCTACAAGGTAATGCCCTTCGGGCTCAAAAATGCAGGGGCTACGTACCAGAGGCTGGTCACCAAAATGTTCAAAGAGCAGCTCGGTAAGACTATGGAAGTCTATATCGACGACATGCTGGTAAAGTCGACAAGAAAAGAGGACCACATCGACCATCTGAAAGAAACCTTCGAGATATTGAGAAGGTACGGGATGAAACTGAACCCCGAGAAATGCGCCTTTGGCGTGGCATCAGGAAAATTCTTAGGGTTTCTCGTATCACAACGAGGTATCGAAGTCAATCCAGATCAGATCAAGGCGATAGACGCAATACCCGAGATACTGAACAGCAAAAAGCAGGTGCAAAAGCTGACGGGGCGAATAGCCGCCTTGTCTAGGTTCATCTCACGGTCCTCCGACAGATGCCATAAGTTTTTCAATGTGCTGAGAAAGGACAACGGGTTACAGTGGAATGAGGGATGCGTTGAGGCCTTAAGAAAATTGAAAGCGTGCCTATCCTCACAAACACTGCTGGCCAAAGCAAATCCAGGCGAGCCCCTGCTGGTATATTTGGTCGTATCCGAGGTCGCCGTCAGCGCAGTCCTAGTTCGTGAAAACGAAGGTACACAATCTCCTATTTACTATATTAGCAAAACCTTAGTGGACGCCGAAACACGGTATCCACACCTTGAAAAATTAGCTTTCGCATTGGTCGTAGTTTCACGGAAGCTCCGACCCTATTTCCAATGCCACCCCATAAAAGTAGTGACGACCTTCCCCTTAAGAAGTATCCTACACAAGCCTGAGTTATCAGGCAGACTCGCCAGATGGGCCATAGAGCTCAGTGAGCACGATATCTCGTATCATCCAAGAAACGCCATCAAGTCGCAAGTACTTGCCGACTTCATAGCCGACTTCAGCGCAGAGATACTACCAGAGGCGGAATTAGAGGCACGCCATGCCCCCTCCAACGCCGACCTATGGACTCTTTACACTGATGGCGCCGCTAACGCCTCGGGATCGGGACTGGGACTCGTTCTCGAGGTCCCCACGGGCGAAACAATTCGCCAGTCCATACGATGCCCCGAGATGACTAACAACGAAGCCGAGTACGAGGCTGTTATTGCAGGTTTGAAACTAGCCATCAAGTATGGAGCTCGACGACTCGTTCTCCATTGCGACTCTCAACTCGTGGTGAACCAGGTCACCGGGACTTACCAAATCAAGGACGCAGAGGTTACAAAAATNTTGAGGACTTCAATCTCAGCCGCCTTGGCATCGAGTTCGGTGGTCATAGCGGCAACCTTGATACCGCAAAT